CACACACACACACACACACACACACACACACACACACACACACACACACATGAAGGGCGAGACTTCATGCATAACTCGGATCGTGAAACTCGAGTGGAGCATGGCAGCGAAATTCAAGTATCATCCAGCGAAGAGGAGATGGAAGTATCTGATGAAGACTCAAGTGATGTTGATGGCGAGGACACATCGACGGATGACACCAGCGATGGAGATATTAAGGGAAGGTAGATCGGATTGTGCCAACAGGAGGGCAAACGGTAGGTGAAAAATGGGAGGTAATACACAGATGCGCATCCAAGTTGGAACTATTGGTTAGTACAGGAAAGTGGAATGACTGTCAAGAGGTAAACTATGTGTATAGGCTCGCATTTATGGCATTAGCCGCGGATGGGGAAATTCTGTGGGCATCGTCATTTGTTGAAATATGGATGGCGGTAGGGGATAACGTTGTTAACCTGATACAGTCAACCTGTTGCGAGGAGGTATTACATCGGAAGGACAGGGAGGCCGGTGGATAAGCGATGGACAGAGCATGTCAATCTAGCGAGAAAGAAACAAAATGGCAGACAAAGGAAACAGTATAGCTGGTTGCGAAAGTATGGTAGGGCGAAGTAAGTATTAATATGGGTATTCTAATTTGTAAGGTGCTACTTTTTTTTTTGCCCTTGCCTTGCAGCTCTGGATGAAGAGGTTCTGCCACCCACTGGGACTTTATTAGACGACTCACGACTCTGAAAAGAAGGATTAGTGCAAAAGAAATGAAAAAAGGCTGAAAGTATGTCAACAAGCAGGAGGTGAAATCAGGCAGAAGAGTTCTTGCCTTGTTGCTGTCAGACTTGAGGAGATTTATCATGTGTGGAATGGCATCCAGATTTCTAACCACTCCTCTCCCTTTAGATTGGAAACAGATGCTCTGGAGTGCACCAGCTGCATTTGCCTGCAGATCTTTATTATCTGAATTCAGAAATTTAACCTGCATGTGATGAGAGATGGTTAATGGAAGGCCCGGGGGGGGGGGGGGGGGGGGGGGGGAGGGAGGGGTTCGCCCCATCACCGCAAGCAATGTCATCAAAATTTTCACGAACAAACAATGCAGGCTCGTATTAACCATTAGTGGCATGTGATGAGATTTAAAAAAAACAATTGACAATGGGCTTGACTGAAACTCAGAGAAGCCAACCACCACCCAAACGAACAGGAAAAGGGTAGAATACTAGAATCCATGAAACAATCGACGATCTGTGCTCAGCAACCTTTGTAGTTGTTTTATTATATTAACTAATTTAACTTTATATTAGTAGCTTTTCCGGATGCAAGACAGCTCCTTGAATAAATAATATTCTTCTTCTTTGTTTTCTTTTTAAATTACGCGGGGTCCATGCTAAACTTCTCTGTATCATTCCAGTTTTCTAACTGATGTCCTTGACGGACTGCGTAATCTTCTAGCTAGTTGCTTGGGTGGATTCATAAGAAAATAGTAAAAGAGTAAAAAAAAAATACCCAAGGAAAGCTCAGTTGGTATACCCATGAACTGTTGAAATACAGACCGGAGTTCAAATCCAGATGAAGGAACTTGATGAATGGAATAAATCATTCTGAATTATCAAGGGCCGGTCCGATCAAGGAAGATAGATATCCCACGACCGCCCTTGGATAAAAAAAGGAAGGAAAGGAGAAGAAAGAAGCAATCCAAGCAATGGGATCAGATCATCAGAACAATGTTTAACTTGTTTGTTTTACTCTATCACATGAGAAGTAGTCTGGATTGCAAAAAATAAATTTAAAATTTAAATTGCAAAAAGGAACGAGTCGGGCAGTGTCACACTTTCAGTTCCGGAAAGGGCAAAAAAAACATGTGCAGGCAACAAAATCGGGTGCGGAGTTTGAAAAGGGCGATGATGTCAGTAAAAATGACTGTGGCCCACGTGTGATTTTGTTGCCCTTTTTCAAACTCGCCACGCGAGTTTGTTGCCCTTTTCAAACTCGGTGCGCGGGTAAAAATGCTTGTGTTGCCCTTTCAAACTCGGCGCACGAGTTTGTTGCCCGCGTGGGATTTTGTCGCATTTTTCAAACCCGTTTGTGCCACAACCGAACTTACCCCTTACATAATTAAAAAAAAAAAGAGAGAACCGTGGAATCGGGGATCCCACCCATCAAGAGGTATGAGCAAGAAATAGGACCTTAGAGACCAGGTTAACGGAGACCCTAATTTTCAGACAACTTCTCGTGCCATTTATAAGAAAACCAAAGGGTAATTTTAATCAAACTTGCCACCAATTCATAGAGTGGATGGAGGCCATACTAACTAACTGTGAGAACTACATTCTTCCCCCGAATACAACGTACGGTCATTATAGCTGTATCTATACTGAAAGATCCCTCAAATACAGCTATAATGACCGTACATTGTATTCGGGGGAAGAAGGTAAGCATCAACAAGTGCAACAAACAAACAGAACAACAACAATAACAAGATGATGTAAACAACACTGCACAACTGGGGTTCTAATTCTGCAAGTCAACCACCGGTCTCTCTGTGAGAAGCAGCATGATTCTATCGCTTGTCAAGAGCGGCAAGAACAACACCAGTAAATATGGATCCGCGCTGCCAGTGTCAAATTAAAGTGAGGAGGAGGAAAGAAGTGGAAAAGACATGCTCAGGTTTGAAAATGGTGAAAGCTGCCGATGGAGAATGCACCTGGATCTGCAGATTGCCAAAGTACATGATCTACATCTGAAGGTACATAGACCCAGGTGCATTCTGATCAGGCTAGTTTTGTCCCTGGGCTCTTTATGTCCTTCACCCTTAATCATTTCAAGCTCAGCCGCGATGTTTACATGGGAAGACGAGTTCAATTTTCAATACAGCTTGCAGAATACCCTGATCTCTCTCTCTCTCTCTCTCTCTCTCTCTCTCTCTCTCTCTCTCTCTCTCTCTCTCTCTCTCTCTCT